TCGCCCAGTATTAACTGAAAGTTTTGACCATAATAAGATAATCATTCTGAATGAAGATGATCAGTAACACTTAATACTGTACTCCACTAACTGAAGAATGTAGTTTTTAAAGACTTTTTTTTGGAAGAAGAGAAAGATAACAAACCATCAAGTGTTCATTCAGGTCTGCGTTCAATCCCCATGACCGTCCAAGTGGTTGGATACTATTCCTTCCCCCCGTCCCCCTGCTTTATGACAAATAAACACAGACACTAAGATACTATACATATATTTGGTCGAATATACAGAAGTACACAGGTGATACTTTGGTGTGAGTTCGGTACAGTATCTCGCAAGTGTCTGCTCTGGAAATTCATGTGGAGCGAGTATATTATTGGGATGGATCAAGGAACTTAGCTGGTCGGTGAATTGTACGCCCTGCTCGCGTTAAATGTTAACTTCCTCCTCTTCGCTGATGTCATCTAAGAAAACGTAGGATAGCAGTGTCGCAGACGTTGAGACGAAGCCTGGAGCAGAGCAGAGAGCTGAGTTTGAGCATCAGTGTGTGGACAAGCTCGGTGTAGCAGGAGAGAAGAATGTGCATAATTGTTGCGTCCTTGGGTCGCTGGTGGAGCATTTAGACAAGGCACAGTTAGGACAACGAGGTAATCACATCTAGAGCTGAACTAAACATTACACACGGGGCAGCCATCCAGTGTTAGAGCAACTCTTTCACCGAACCACTTTGGCTGGACGGTAGAGCGACGGTCTCGCTTCATACAGGTCTGCGTTCAATCCCCATGACCGTCCAAGTGGTTGGATACTATTCCTTCCCCCCGTCCCCCTGTCTCATCCCCAATCCTTATCCTGATCCCTTCCCAGTGCTATATAGTCGTAATGGCTTGGCGTTTTCCCGCGACAGCACCACTCCTGTGACAGGTGAGTCCACTACGGGCTCACCATAGCCCGTGCTACTTGGAACTTGTTCCGAGTAGCTGAATCTACAACAACACGGCGATTTCCCTTGATAATTCCCTTCCTTATAGTACATTGCATTTCGTATACATCCCCTAAGGGCAAAAACTGATGTTCTAAAAGCCATAGCGGCTCACGAAATTAACATGATGCCTCGTTTTCTGTTCGTGGGTCCTCTGGTTAGGTTAGAACACGTTAGTACCACAGTTTCTGGACGTTGGGAACGTTGGGGAGAACGGGGCTGGTTAGAGAGCAGACCACACCACAGACCTCGGTGGTCTCAGGCTCCAGTGACCACACCCGCCGCTTTACTTCCTCTATGTTAACTCATCGCCTTCACATTGACATGAGTAATTGTGCTCACGGACTTGTGTATACGCCTTCCTTGTGCCAACACTCTCACATTACGTTGTTGTGCTAGGGATCATGCTACGCTATGTAGCAAGTCACGCTACATAGCGTAGCATGAGGGGGGTGCATATGGAAAGATCGTGGTGATAACCAGTTACATACACGAGGTCAAAATGTCCATACGACAACACCCACGAGGCTACTGATGCCTCATATTGCCCAATTATTGGTCCAGGAGCTGAAGCACATTACCCATAATTACATCGTGCATATGAGATGAGTGAAGATTTGCTTCACCCAAGAAAATAGTTGACTTGCATGGGGTCGAGACACTAGAGATGGTGGCCCGCAGGTAAATTCGGGTAAATATGGTCAAAACTGGCGAGAAACCGAGACCCAGCGAGCCACATAGTCAGCCATCAGGGAGCCAGGGGCGTGCTGGCGCGCAAGGTGACGACGGACTTGGCCCCTCAGTCACCAGTGACCACAGAATGGCCTTCAATTACCTCTAATTCTGTCAAGTCTCACACAGGAATTGGTGGATCTTGTGGAATGTTGGTTATAGCCTTGTGGTAGGACGAAGGCTGGTGTGTGTGTGTAATTTCGGCGGGGAGAGGGTGTTTGTGGAGGGCGGAGGTGTTTGATGTGTGTGTGTGTGTGTGTACTAGTGGTGAGCTGAAGGTGTTTGATGTGTGTGTGTACTAGTGGTGAGTTATAGGTGTTTGATGTGTGTGTGTACTAGTGGTGAGCTGAAGGTGTTTGATGTGTGTGTGTACTAGTGGTGAGCTGGAGGTGTTTGATGTGTGTGTGTGTGTGTACTAGTGGTGAGCTGAAGGTGTTTAGTCATGCTTCTTTCTTCCGCATGTTTGAGTTGTGTGACGGCCCTGACTATGCTTCCCATATTACAGTAGCGTGGATGATGGTGGTGGTGGGTGGATGATGACGGTGGGTGGGTGTAGTTACGGTGGGTGGGTGTAGTGCAACACGGAACCATCATGAAGAGTGTAGACAGCACAAATACACATGTACAGTTAAGCTGAAATAAGTATACACATTATCTTGCTCTCCATGTCTGTGTCAGAATGTTGTAAGAGCTCTCAACACAGACTTTCATTAACACAAAAGTACCCATGTCTGAATTTATAGGTCGTAAAACCTTCTCTCGTAGTCTACTGACCAGAATATGTATTTATACACATTAGTAATTTGTCCTTGGTTCAATTATGCCACTACACTCTTCGGAGGGTAGAAATAGCCTAAGCTACTCTATCCCTTGAGATATAATTTATTGTCTCAATAAACATAGTTGAACTACACTGTTCTACACTACACTACACTCTCCTGACTCACCATTGGTGGATATCTACACCGCACTTCATCACTCCTGGGGCTACACCCAACCTCTTTCCTCTCAATGTCAACAATTTTCCAAACTATTATGAGTTACTCGCATACTTCGTTTAATTAGTGTATTGTGGACCCCATACCTCGTGTGGGCGTTGGAGGAAATGTAGTTCATTATGTAATGTGGCTCACAAAGCTTGGGTACCCTGATGCTGCTGTTCACCTAGGAGTAAATAGGTACCTGGGAGTTAGACAGCTGCTACGAGCTGCTTCCTCTATGTGTGTGTGCGTGTGTGTGAGAAAAAAATCATTTGATTGATTGACAGTTGAGAGGTGGGCCCAAAGAGCCAGAGCTCAACCCCCGCAAGCACAACAACTAGGTGAGTACACACAATGGAATTACCTAAACAAGCAGGTTGTAGAAGCAAACTCTATTTCTAACTTTAAAAGCAAGTATGACAGGGAGACAGGCCAGGAGTCATTGCATTAGACAACCAACGGCTAGAAAAGCGGGGTCCACGAGCTAGTAGCTCGATCCTGCAGGCACAACTGCTCAAGCCCTGCAAGCCATTCCCACCCGCCCGCCAACCCAGCCGCTGTACAGCACACAACATATTTCAAGAAAACAGAAATAACATTAACGCAAGTTCCTAAAGACCTGCAACTTACACAAGAAACAAACGCGGCCACGAGACAACAAACATCACTCATGATCCAACAAGCTATTTATATGCAAGACGACACCCACGAGGTCAGCATCCACCCTTGAATTTATTCCCCCACTCGGCGTGTCGAAGCTGTTAAGGTCGGCCCAGCAACTTTTTATTCTACTCGGCGTGTCGCTTATATGTTAATGACGAGTCTTTAGCCTTCTACCCATCAAGTAGTGTCCGAGAACCCTGATAATGGGGCTATGGGCCGTCCACACCCTTGCTGCTGGAGCCTGGAACCTTGGTATACTGCTGGAGCCTGGAACCTTGGTGTACTGCTGGATTCTAGAACCAGTCTTGGTGTACTGCTGGAGCCTGGAACCAGTCTTGGTGTACGGCTGGAGCCTGGAACCTTGGTGTACTGCTGGAGCCTGGAACCTTGGTGTACTGCTGGAGCCTGGAACCTTGGTGTACTGCTGGATTCTGGAACCAGTCTTGGTGTACTGCTGGAGCCTGGAACCAGTCTTGGTGTACTGCTGGAGCCTGGAACCTTGGTGTACTGCTGGATTCTGGAACCAGTCTTGGTGTACTGCTGGAGCCTGGAACCAGTCTTGGTGTACTGCTGGAGCCTGGAACCAGTGCTGGTGTACTGCTGGAGCCTGGAACCAGTCCTGGTGTACTGCTGGAGCCTGGAACCAGTCCTGGTGTACTGCTGGAGCCTGGAACCAGTCCTGGTGTACTGCTGGAGCCTGGAACCAGTCCTGGTGTACTGCTGGAGCCTGGAACCAGTCTTGGTGTACTGCTGGAGCCTGGAACCAGTCTTGGTGTACTGCTGGAGCCTGGAACCAGTCCTGGTGTACTGCTGGAGCCTGGAACCAGTCCTGGTGTACTGCTGGAGCCTGGAACCAGTCCTGGTGTACTGCTGGAGCCTGGAACCAGTCCTGGTGTACTGCTGGAGCCTGGAACCAGTCCTGGTGTACTGCTGGAGCCTGGAACCAGTCCTGGTGTACTGCTGGAGCCTGGAACCAGTCTTGGTGTACTGCTGGAGCCTGGAACCAGTCCTGGTGTACTGCTGGAGCCTGGAACCAGTCCTGGTGTACTGCTGGAGCCTGGAACCAGTCCTGGTGTACTGCTGGAAATGAGTGTTGTCTATAAGTAACAAGCCTATTGTACTTGCAGTAGTATGACCTGAAACTGTTTCCCATGGTCGGGACAGGAAGCCTGACAAACTTATCTAGGCCACACTAGGCCAACGACTGAAAGGAAAAGGAAAGAAGGTAGGTAAAGGTGGAAGAGGAAGGGAGGTAGATCAAGATGGAAGAGGAAGGGGGGTAGATAAAGACGGGAGAGGAAGGGAGGTAGATAAAGATGGGAGAGGAAGGGAGGTAGATAAAGATGGTAGCAGAAGGGAGGTAAATAAAGATGGTAGAGGAAGAGAAGTAGATAAAGATAGGAGAGGAAGAGAGGTAGATAAGAAAGATAGGCAAAGACAACATATTGGAGCAGTGTACCAGACTTTACCTGTGGCTGTGTCCGACCTCCGAGAAATTGAACAAATACACCAGATCACTAATTCAATCTTCGAACCATTTTATCTCTTAATTATATTCTGTTTATATCACGCATTCGATTCGCCTAATTAAAATGATATTAAAATAGTTAATTAATACTAATTGGGATAATATGTATTTTGTCTCCTAGCTGCGTACGAAACCCGCTCTCGATCGTTACATCGTGTCAACCAATGAGGAGGCTCGCCTCACCGCTCCAGGATGACCAATCACGCTCTAGCTTTCAAACTTGCAGCCAATGGAATTCCTCCTTGTATCCGCGACTAGCTTTCCTCTCTCAACATATGGTAAAGGAAAGTCGCAGCGGAAAATACAGATTTATAGCGGTGTTCAGTGTTAATTGTCGGTGGCAGAGGCTAGGCGGCGATGATAGGCTGATAACGCTAAGTGCCAAAGGACATACAACAGCCCCGAGCATAATGGTGGAGGAGACAAGACGTCTCTGAAGGATGGGGAAGCAACAGGTTATGAGTGTTGCTGAGGTAAGCGCAACATATGATACAGTCTTGCAATATACCATTATTAACCATCTATGTTATATCATGCTGAGAGGGTGGTGGTATATCATCATTATCATCGTGCTCCACATCGTGCAAGGTTCTAGAGACAGGCGAGAGGACATTTCACATTGTCGTAGCCACCTTAAGCCGGAATCATCTTCGGTGTTGCAAGCTGGGTCATCATCCGCGGGTGATTAATTTATGAATGAACTTGAAGGAGAGAGAAGTTAAGCAAGCTGGCAAAGGTGTCGAGTACTGCTAGTTTGTCTTGTGGTCCGTGGGGTCTGTTTTCTGGTCCGTGGGGGCCTGTCTTGTGGTCCGTGGGGCCTGTCTTGTGGTCCATGGGACTGTCTTGTGGTCCATGGGACTGTCTTGTGGTCCGTGGGGCCTGTCTTGTGGTCCATGGGACTGTCTTGTGGTCCGTGGGGCCTGTCTTGTGGTCCGTGGGGCCTGTCTTTTGGTCCGTGGGGCCTGTCTTGTGGTCCATGGGACTGTCTTTTGGTCCGTGGGGCCTGTCTTGTGGTCCGTGGGACCTGTCTTCTGATCCGTGGGTCTGTCTTGTGGTCGGTGAGACCTGTCTTGTGGTCCGTGGGGCCTGTCTTGTGGTCGGTGAGACCTATCTTGTGGTCCGTGGAGCCTGTCTTTTGGTCCGTGGGGCCTGTCTTGTGGTCCATGGGACTGTCTTTTGGTCCGTGGGGCCTGTCTTGTGGTCCATGGGACTGTCTTGTGGTCCATGGGACTGTCTTGTGGTCCGTGGGGCCTGTCTTCTGGTCCGTGGGGCCTGTCTTGTGGTCCGTGGGGCCTGTCTTCTGGTCCGTGGGGCCTGTCTTCTGGTCCGTGGGGCCTGTCTTCTGGTCCGTGTGCCTATCGTCTGGTCCGTGGACCTGCCTTCTAGTCCGTAAATATTTTGTTATCTTTGACACTCGGTAACAAAATATTACAAATATTACAGGTCATTGATTTTAATGTCACGCCATGTGGAAAGACTACACTTCATAATTTAAAGGAGTGCGAGGTTAATTTATCTAGTGAAGGCACAAGGGGGTTTATAAGCCATACGTTGTAAAGAACCTGTTTAACCAGACTTGTTTTTTGTAATGTTATTTCAATATGTATTTTAGATATTATGTGCGCGATGTGTATCATTCAAAAGGAAGTGAATTCAGGTATTCTAGCCTACGAGAGCTATTTCCTACGAGAGCTATATCCTACTGAGCCTCTTCTCAGCTGATCATCATTAATTGCAAACTATAATTTTTAATTTTGTAATTCACATGTATTGTAAAGAGTTTTTATATAATCTTGATATTAAAATATTAGACCTGAACTGGGCACATTATCCACCCATATAACTATCTACGGGCTCACCATAGCCCGTGTTACTTGGAACTTTTTGTTCCAGGTAGCGAATCTTTAACAACAACAACAACCCATATAATGGTACAGTAGGCTACACGTTTGAACTGTCTCGGGAACAATAGGGGGTAGGGAGGGTCTTTGACAAGACGCTGGCTTTCTGTCCCCGTCGCGGGCCACTGGATATGGTGGGTTCATACAGGTGAGATCTGTATGACAGCCATTCGTGCTCGATAAGGATCTTGGTATCATTTGTTTTCATTTCATATCCCAGAAAGTCATTCTCTGTACACTCACTTTGTTGGTGAGTGCTCTTCCAGAATATTGCCTACGACTTTGGTTGCCTTATTTAAGGAATTATATTCAGTCACGGATATCTTACCCTGACTATGAAGTATACATTTTGAAATCTATTTAAAAAAAAAAAAAAAAAAAAAGAGTTGAATTTATTGTCAGTCAAGGGTAAAATGTTTTTTGATTGATAAGATACATTCATTTTACATGTTTACTTTTTGCAAGTAACACAGCATTAGAGTGGTGAGACGTACAGTAACATAAACATACTGTAGAGCTTAACATCCAACTTGGTAAACATTGTACTTAGCATGTAAGTGTAGGTCATGACAAACACAACCTCTCTTTACTTGTGTAAAGGAGGAAATGTATATGTTTATCTCTCAGAATGTTTGGTAATATGTTTATTGTTTGTGATGTGTGTTTATATATGTATTAACACGATGTACTGAACGGGGTGAGAATAGCTTGAGCTACCTCATCCCTTTGTGTGTATTTTACCTCAATAAACTTATTTCAATTTCAACACAACCTCTGCAGCTTAGCACATGCTCGGCGCCTCCTATAACTGTACGGGTAATAAATATTGCAAATACAGGTAACCAATTTAATTCCAACTGTGAAATACTGTTTGTAATGGTGAGCATCTTTGAAAGTGATTGAGGGTAAAACCGTATATACGTTTTAAAATATACTGAACAAATATGAGGATTATAACTGTTTATCCTAGTCTTGTCAGACCTATTTAGATTACTACAGGTTACTTTATTCTCATTTTATGAGGTAGTACTGCTGACAGGGCAGCAGATAGTCGGCCTAAATGATATACAGAAAGAAGTAGTAGTCCTAAACGATGTGTTACCTATCGTACGTTACGGCTCGTGATCCTACAGCAGCCAAACTTTAATAAGTCTAGGGATACGACACAACTGCTGTTCTCAATAGCGAATCACCAGTATAACCCCTTAATGGGTAATGAGCATAAAATAGAATCTTCATAGGACTGAAGAATAAAGACTAAGTATATATATATAATTTATATTAAATAAATCTCAAAGGCAAACAGATGATTATATGGTCACAATATATCACATTAAAAATATCACTGTAACTTCCAGACATTAAATCAATACTAAGAATAATTATATGGCTAGAATAAAAGAATGACTTAACTCCAACAAGTGTTATCTCCCCGGTTTCTGCTCAGCTACTAAACAAAATCACGCGAGAATCAAAAGAGATTGCCTCGCCCCGCGAATAAATTGCCAAAGTTACAATATTTATTATTTCAACAATGGAGCACTACATTGTGACAAGAGTAATCTTAAACTAACTTAATGAATAATTAGTACATATTGATATAGACAACAAAAGTACGTGTTTCTTTACATAGTAATTAAAATATGCATACAGAATAGCATAATGGCATGCACACCCCAGCAACGGACGATCCCACGACAATTTGCCAGATACAGTTCACTCAATTATTATTTCACTCTGTTACCCACTTATGATCACATATAAATCATTAGTTCCCGTGGGAAAACTGATCACACAAAGAAATAAACAATCATTCCCACGATACGCTGGGCCTAACGCCAACACTGTAACATGAATGTGCATTTGCATAGAACATATAAGTATAACAATATACATGCTTGTAATTTACATACAATTATAAATGTACATATTAATATATTCACTTACGTATCTTATAAGGGTACGTAACACTTCCACCTCCAAGAAAAAAAAATGCAATGGATTGAAGATCAATGGCATTTTTTCAGAAGTAAAAATGTTAAGTAAAAAGAAACATTTCATTTATGGTACATCAAAACTTCTTGACAAAGCATCAGCAATAACATTTTGTCTGCCTGGAATATGTTTGATTTCTACATTAAATTCCTGCAAAAACAATGACCATCGCAGAATTCGTTGGTTCTTGACTTTCATCATATTTATAAAGATAAGGGGGTTGTGGTCTGTAAATACTAACACTTTATTTCCTGATAAGTAAATCTCAAACTTCTTGATTGACAATATAAGACCCAACGCCTCCTTTTCTACCACGGAATAATTTCTCTGAGCTGCATTAAATTTTCTGGAATAGTAATACACAGGATGCTCAATCTGGTCTAAACCAACTTGAATAAGCACAGCACCTATCCCAACATTAAATTCATACGCACCATCAGGTGTAACAAAAGCAGTAACCTCTCTAGCATACTCTGTTAATGGAATTTGATAATACCCTTTTGACAAATCAAGCTTACTTACATATTCGGCATGACCTATGGACTCTATACATTCTTCCAACAAGGGTAAAGGAAAAACGTCCACTGTAGTGTTCTTGTTCAGTTTCCTGTAATCCACGCACAATCTCCAGGTTCCATCTGGTTTTGGCACTAACAAACACGGAGAGCTCCAAGTACTTTGACTTGGCCGAATGAAATCATGCTGGAGCAGATATTCCACTTCTGCTTGCATAATTTTCCTCTTTTCGGGATTCACTCGGTACGGATGTTGTCGAATGGGGGTGCTGTCCAGGAGCTGAATGTCGTGTGTGATGAGGTGGGTCTGGGTAGGAACCTCCCCAAACAGAGATGTATGGTTGTCCAGCAGAACCTGGAACTCATCACGTTGTTCCTCCTGTAAATGACATAGCATCTCCCTGCCATTGGAACTGGAACTGAGAAGTGGGATATTAACAACATGTCCCTCACTACAATTATCCTCAGGTGGTAACTCTTCCCGACTAAAACAAGCTACTACACCAGGTCCAACATAAGCTTTTAATCTGTTAATGTGTACAGTCATTTGGGGTTCTGAAAGATTAGGGTTAATTAGTTTATAAGTTAGGTCTCCCACCTTGTCTACCACTTGGTAGGGTCCTGCGAACTTATGGGACATGGAAGTCCCCATACGAGGTTTCAACACCAACACCAAATCTCCGACATCAAACGACCTTAGCTTAGCCTTGAACTTCTTGTCATATCGTACTTTCATGGCTTGTTGAGTCCTTCCCAGATGTTCTTTCGCCAACTCACGAGCCCGACACAACTTAGCCTTGACCTCACTCAAGTACAATCCGCTCTGATGAACAGAGACATCTCCCAACAACTTTTCTTGTAGCATTTTAAGAGGACCTCTTACTTGGTGACCAAACACTAGTTCAAAGGGTGAACAGCCCAATGACTCTTGTAGCCCTTCTCTAGCAGCAAACAACACAAAGGGGAGATTCTCATCCCAATTACGTGGATGAGTTTCTCCGGTTGTCTTCAGCATTTGTTTCAAAGTCTGGTGGAAACGTTCAAGTCCACCTTGGCTTTGTG